CGCGTAAAAATATTGGGGTAAAAGACAGTAAATCTTTGTGTACTACACTAATAAGATCAAACATTATAATATTAAACTTTTTTTGGGTGAAATTCAATTTAGTTATTTGTCCGTTCCCATCATTTTCTTGTTATCTTTTTATGCTCTGTCAGAAATATTAATGTTTCATTTAATATACACAAGCCTGAGTATATTGATTAATTATATTACTTAGAATACACGTTAAAATAGTTTTTTTTTACGTGCTTAGTTAATCACAGAATAATATATCACATAGTTCTATTATTACATAATCACAATTCTATAGGCTAAAAATATAAGTATATTGTATTATATCTATTAAAAACTCTTAAATCAATTGTTGATATTCACTAATCATCTGTGTAATAGATTACACGTAGCCGCTGATAATTTCTGCATAGATTGTAATAGATTACACGTAGCCGCTGATAATTTCTGCATAGATAAGGTCTAAAAAAGAATTTCAAGGCTGAATTCTTTATATCTAGATAAAGAAGAATACAGCTTCTTTTTAATATCAAATAAAGAAAAATATTTATAATTGGCGTTGTAAAGAAATTCAATTTGTTCAGGTGCGAAGAAAAAAAAAAAAAAAAGATACTTGAAGTCGTTACGTGCGCATGCATAATAAATACATTAATAAATTAAAGTAAATTATATAATCTTTACGTAAAAGTAAATAAATGCTCTATATAAAAAGACATCATTATATTTCCTAATTATGTATAATTTTTTGGAATTTCGGAGCTCGCGATCTATTTATTATAATCATCACACATAATGCTCCTAAAAATAGCAAAATAAATACTTTGATTTTATCACGCATATCGATATATCCCAAAGTCAAATTGAAATAACATATATCACAAATCACAAAGAAGCATAACTATTTATTTACATATCACAAAAAATAAAGATCAAACCCGATATTTTTTGCACATCATTATTGTATTGGTTCAATTGTAAAATTTATTATTATTATTTTTTAATTATAAAAACTTCTTTTTAAAGTACTTTTAGAATATTGAGCGTATTTTAAGAGCGTCTTAAAATATCTTAAAGTAATTGATTAAAGATAATTGGTTCTCGACTTTGATTCTTTTGCCTTTTAAGCGCGAACAATCCCTTTTTGGTGAATGACGGAATAGGGCTGAACAACTACTGATTTTGATTTCAAATTCAATGTACATCTATCTGTGTAAAGATTGCAAGTACTATTACTAAATTCATATAAAGAATGCATACCTTTAATATTTTTAAAAGAAAAACTTAATAATATTTATATTTAATCAGAAAAAATAAATGTTCATAATAATCGGAGATATATCCCGTATAATGTAAAAATATACATTCTACTTTATAAAAAAAAAAAAAAAGTTTTTAATTAGAAAAAAGATCTGCCAAACCCATGTTTATGGGGATTTATCCTTAATGTTGTACAACATGTATATACATGCATTTACATATATATATATACGTATATATATATATAAATATATATACGTATATATATATATATATATATATATATATATATATAATGACTACTGAATATATAGACATAAAACCATAAATCTTTGTTAAAAAAAAAAACCACGTTTAACTTTATGCTTTGTATTGTACGATGTATATTTAAAGACATGTCTGACTCTCACAGTGATGAATGTAATCTAACCAAATTACTTTGTTAAAAAAAAGCATGCCTATCCCCCAAAGTCTATGAGCGTTATATTATGACTGACCTTTATCTTTTTAGGGTACTATTAATAATTATATATGCAAATTTTGTTTTGTTTCTTTTTTTTTTTTTTTTTTTTGTTTAAAGAAAGGTGTTAATAAAATTTTAAGATATATAAAGAGTTCATTCTCGTTATATTGAACTTTTTAATGGAAATTATCGAAGAAGATTTAAATTCTAACATAATAATGTTGGTTCAAATCAGTCTATTAAGTCTTTAATCTTTTCGATAACCAAAACTTACCAGATACTCAAGGTTACGTAAGATTTTGTAATACGGTAATATATCTGGTATAGTGCAAAACTTTACCTGGTAATTATTTATAATATGTGTGTAAAACTTAACCTTTCAAAATTGACCCTGCAGTTTGCGTAAACCCAAATTTCATCCTTTTTTATTTACATTATTTTTTAACGTGGCGTAATAATTTTACTTCAATAAGAAAGTTGGTTCATACTAGTACTACTTTTTTTTTCGTAACTCTTTAGTACATAATTATTATCTATTATATCATTCATATTCGTATGATTTGTCTAGAAAAAAAAAAAAAAATTCACGCTGATCATCATGAACGTTAGTGGTATTGCAAGGGTCTGTGCTTCATAATCATGTAAAAAAAAAAAAAAAAAATTGCATGTTTTTCCAGAAAATCTATTCGTGAGTTTTAATGCATACAGTATAATGTGAAAATAATTATCAATTATCTGTTATTAGTCGTTTTACCTACGCCATATTAAGTGAACATAAAACTATTAATAAGCATGCACATAATAGATAAATGATTAAGTATATTTCTGACCGATTTTATTGGTTTCCAACTTTGTGCGCTTTATTTTATGGCAACAAATTAGCATATTATAATTTGGTAGAATTCTTTTTTACACATTTAAATTATTTAAATTATTTAACAGTGGAATTTTTAACGTCAAAAAATGACTCATTATTGATATTTACATACGTATACAATATTGTGTCTGCACTAACCCATATATGTTATTATATATGATGAAAAATATTTATGTAAATCTGTGTCCGAGTGCAGTTTCAAAGTAAGGCCCATTTATACTCATTATTTAAATGCCAAGAGAATGATATAAATAACAGGAGATTAAATTCCGACACATACGATAGAAATCTTTATGCAAGGGATTTGTATCACGTGGAATTTAAGATACTCACTATCGCTATTAAGGAATTTAGCAATTGTATTTTTTTTAGGAAGATACTTACTTAAAAAAGAAAAACAAATAGTAAAAGCAAGAAACCAATTATATTTATCGGTTTAACAAATCCGCCTGCAAAATGATGTGTTTTAGTGCAGGAAAGGCAGAATTACTTAATCTCTAGAATTTTTCTAAATTTGTTATAATATTTATATCATATGGTAACACATTTTTAACTATGAAACAACTCCTCAAGTATGAGATGTTCTAGACGCATATTTATGTCGTATATTACCGAAGAATTCCTTGTGAAACTTGATAACAAAAAACGGAAAAATAATGTTAGGTTAAAAGGTTTACTGTTTAATCATATCGCATGAATTCTTTATCAGTTATATTTTCCGTGATCATAATTTCTAATTTGTAATAGTATCATGTTATTGTCATAAAATTTTTTATCAAACAATATTATTTCCCAAATATATTTTTTTTAATTCTAGATATGATATTCTAGAATAAATTAAATGTAAATCCTGTACGTATTTTCTTTATGGAAAACGTAGAAAAAATAAAATGAAACTGTTTGTCGTAATTATTTAGGAAAATTAGGAAAATTAAATAATTTATATATTTTATAATACTTTAGTATTTATGCGTATGATAATAATTGATCTAATTTAAACATTTAAAGTTTTATTAAAATATACTGTATATATTTTCTTTGATATAACAATTCGCATATTTAAAATTCTGATCTGCAGATTTTAGCCAATAGGATTTATTAATTTCAGCATCATTCGAATTTTCCATTGACAATAACTATAAGTTTTATAATAGACCATAAAAATAAAATAATAACCAAACTAAGATTTTTTTTTTTTTTTATTATTATTCTTATAACTATTCTTAGCTTAATTTGCAAAAGTTGCTCGATTTCTAAAATTCATTTTATTATATTAAAAAAAATTTTTATTCAAATATAATTATAGTAAGTTGTTTTTTTTTTCAATAATATTAAATAATAATCGTCGTCATAATTACAATAAAGTACTGTACATGCAATTATCAAACATAGAAGAATCTTCAAGAATCTTGAGTTTTATTAAAGAATTCTATGAAAAGTACGTATGTAACATGTAATACAGCTGATTACAGCTGACATAATTATGGAATACCACTTATAATTATTTCACTAAATGACTAGCATTAATATTTCAATCATTTAATAAATAATTTCCAAATATGCCTAATGCTGGTAAAACGTAACAATATTTTTTTGTATTACGGAATATTTGGAATGCGCCAATAGTTACACAAATAATGAAACAAAGTAATACGGGATGATACTCGGAATTCAAGTACAAAAAAATGATTATTACCAGGTGACTGTTTTTGTTCTCTCTCTATGCATCTCAAAAAAAGGAATCTAACGGAGTAAAAAAACCATCATAATGTTGATAACTATGGTGAAACATATTTTGATGAAAAATTATAAATACTACAACTCCACACTCATCTTGAAAATCCGTAGAATTACCAAATCTCAGAGTGTTATTAAAATTGCAAGGATAAAAAAGCAACAACACGACAGTTGCTTGTTACTGACTCCCCATACAATAAATTAATTTAGGCATACCCTCCTATCATATTAGACTGGCATTTCCTTCAGGATACTTTTGCAAAAACCCTGACCCGTATTTGCCAAAGATAAAATATTTATTTCAATATAAACCACCTTAAATCCAACCTCAATTTATAATCTTATTAATCGCCTCCATCCCCCCAAAGAAATAAATGCCGCCTAATCGCAACAAACTTTGTTCTAAACGCTCTTCCAGCAAAAATTCTTCGACTATCGATATTAGTCAAAAAGTCGATGAGTTTGTTAAACAAGTCGACCTAGAAGATTTATGTTCTTCAAGTGTCATTGTATTGCCAGGCACTGGAAAAAATAATCCTGTTGCTAGGCCTTCAAATTGTTTCTTTCAATTTAAACGTGCAGTTACCAACTATGCGATGAAGAAAGTAATTCAAGGCCGTAATGACCAAAATATACTTTCAAAAGCGCAATCAAAACTTTGGAAAATGATAACCCCGGTACAAAAGGATTATTTTAGGAAATTAGCCGAGGAGGCCTTAAAAATTCATAAAGAAAAATTTCCTGATTATGAATTTCATCCACAAAGAGATAAATCTGTTCTAAAGATAAAATCTATGAATGGAGGAGGCCAACAAACAAAGAAAAAGAAAAATCCTGTGGAGAAACCAGATAATCTCGCATTTAATCAGGATTCTAACAATAATAATTTGAATCCCGTATCGAATGAGGGGGCATTCGCTTGCGTTATTACTACATATGAGGAGGGCCAAAACCATGCCTACGATAACACTCTCGCGCTTACTGTCAGCAATGAATCTACATTTATGGGGAGTCAAGACGAGCTGACAGGTTTAGATTTTGACTTAGGCTTGCGATACTTTAATTATTATTCGCAACCACCGTCCAATCATTTAAGCGCAACCTTGCAACCCAACTATTTAACTCCAATTAGTCCTACTTCTGACTCGGAAACACAATTTATGTTTCAATCTCCGTTTCCATCACCAAATTCGCAAATTGGAGATAATAATAGTTTTGAATTTCATGTCGTGCCTGATATTGAGCAGAATAGTATCGACTTGCAAACCGTTCCTAGTATAGAACATCTGACGGTTTCAATTCCCACTTGGCAAACATCTATCTTAGATAATAATAATATGCTTGGGATAAACATGAACAATACACCTAGTCCTAGCTCCCCGGCATTATCAAATGGTGATAGTAACTACAGCATTCATGACTTTGATAACATAGAAGATATGATTACAAATACTTTCGCAGAGAATTATTTAGATATGCCATTCTGTTCACCTATCACCGAACAAACTTTAATACTTAACATGGATTGTTCGAGTCCTTGTGACCAAATATACAATGACCTTTTAAGCCCTTATTATTAAAAAAAAAAAAATTTTTTTTTATAGAAAAAATAATAATAGAAAACAGAACAATTATTTCGATCTGAAATACATGTGTCCTCAAAAACTAAATAAACAAAAAAAATAAAGGTCTTTAACAATCTAAACAAAATCATAGAGTAGTATTTTTCTTTTTTTTCTTTCTTTTTCCCTTTTTTTTCTTTCTTTTTTTGTTAGTTTGCAATTTGGTTGTCTTAGTGGTTAGTTTTTTTTTTTTTTTCTCTGGTCCGGTTCCCCCAATAGCCATATGATTTATGTAATTATGATTCTAAGTTAAAAGAGCAATACAAAAAAAACAACAAGACATACATAATTATGAAACTATCTATTGTAAATATGAAATATAGTATGATAATAAAGATTTACTTTTAATCTTCATTTTTTTTTTTTTTTTTTTTTTTGTTTAAATTTTTAAAAATTGGTATACACTTTTACATGATACCAATTTGTAAAACTTATTAAATGTTACTTAAAGATGATAATAATTTTGTGATTTCGCGGGCAACCAATAAAGTTGGTATTAAATATTAAAACGTTACGTTTCAAAGATTTTATGCTATGTTCACATATTGATTCCCATAAACAAATACTTTGGAATAAATCTATGGAAAAAAAAATGCTTTAATATATGAAAATCCTTATTAATGTAACTAAAAAATTTTAAAACTCACATTTGAAACTCTTAAATAATCCCGAAGTCGAGCTATCTTATAGGACTGATGTGCATGCGTTCAATAAAGAGAAACATTTTATTATAAATATATTTTGTATTTCTAAAAGGAACATTTTATTATAAATATCTTTTGTATTTTTAAATAATCGTTTTTATCAATAATTAGGAAAAAGGATAAGAATTAAAAAAAGAAACTCTTTTTTCATCTATTAAGCTAATGGAAAATAACCGCCATTTTATTAAAACTTCGTTGAACTAAAATAGGAAACTGCTCATAAGCACAGAAATATTCTCTATCATATTTAAGGTAGCACATACATATTAGCTTGGTTCTCCTATTTTTGGAACCTCCGAAAAGAAATTTCTGTGCATGCTACGTAATAAACGAGAAATTTTTGTAATTCCATAAAGACGTGCACAACGTTTCCTAGCATTGTCCATTCTTGAATGTTACCCTAAAAAGAAATTTTTAAAGGCTTTTATTTCTCAAAGGATAAAATTTGTACCTTATTAAGTTAAACCCATTTGGTTCTTGAATAATTAATTAATTGCGATTGACGGGAATTTGACCTTTTTAAAGTCATCGAATTTTAACTTTGATCTATTTTGTAAAAATTTACGAATTAAAAATATTTTAGAGAAACTTTCGAATTTTTAATAAATAAAGTACTAATTTATAAATATAATTTAAAATATTTAAATTTAAGTCGGATTTCACCTTTAATGTATTAAAACGAATGAATTAGTATTCTTTTTAAACCCTATTAGATTTAGATATATTAAATTTTTTAATTCTTTTACTAAAAACATTTTCAGGAAACCAAACCTTTCTAAAAGAAACTTGGTATATAATTTGAATTATTACGAAGCCTATAATTATTATTAATATTTGATGGTTTTATATAAAATGGTTTAAAGGTTTCTTTTCTCTCTGAATTTGACGGAAAACTTTTTAACATTAATTCAAAATATATGAAATTTATCGGGTAATTTTATTTATAAACTTTACTATTATCGTTATTACTAAAAAAAAAAATTTTACCCTATACTGACACATAAAAAACACGTGCCTTGTATCTCATAATTAAATAATTAATAATTTCGCTAACTTCATTAAGCGATACTAGATACTGTATTTGATTGAAACTTGTCGATATTAAACTTAAATATTGTCACGGCAGATCCTTGATTTTGATAGTCTATTTATACCTGTAGTATTAAATTGAAAACCCATTTCCCGGTCATGCAGCCCATTGTTTTCGAGTATCTTTTTTGATACATTAACGATAATGGAAAGGTCTGAATCAAGAATGATATACTTAATGGCTGGAAAATGAGTACGTAGGTACGTACTGTATGCGTCAGACCTCTAAGTGGACCAGCCATAAATGTGATGTGTACATTTAAAGATTAACCAATCAGCTTTTACATATCTGATATATAACACAGCCAATTAATATTCACATAACTAAAAAAATTTTTAGTTATGATTGTTGCTACATATTAACAAGATACTAGAGAAAAAGCACTTATGTACAGATACCAAACCCACTCGCCAAATCTAACACTCCTCTATTGACTAAGCCTCTGTAGGTCCCGGATAAATTAGTATTTGTTAAGTAATAGAGATACCAAGATATCAGGTTGTCAATATAAAATTTTTTATTTTTGTTTTGTACACATTAAATTTTGTTAATAATAAAAATTTTTATCCAATCCAAATGATCCTATCATATGTTCTGAAGTAACAGGATATTAATAGGAAAGACAGAATAAGTAGAATTAGGGATGGGCAAATCGTGAATTTTTCAAATTTTCTGCGCATAATATATAGTAGAGATATAATTCTATTCTAGTTGGCCAAGAATTATGCCAGCTGGCCAGAATTATACCAGCTAGCCTGAATTTTAAAAATCACACTGCGCAGCCTCTCAAAAATTCTGCGCAGTGAAATAATGCGCAGGCTGCGCAGTGGCCCATTCCTAGTTACCACCAAGTATTACAGGGGAGAAAATAAGTTACCACCAAGTGTTACAGGTAATTTGTATACTGTACTTTCTTTAAGCTCCTTGCCAGAGCGTGACGTTAGTAATTTGGGGAAGGGGAATTCAATAATTATGATTAACCTTATGTGCCTCTACCTCGCACATAAGAGTCGTTTTCAACCTAACTTGTTGTAACGTCCTTTATATAATTTATTGAATATATGTGGGGGGCTTGGATGTTGCTATCATATTATTTTATCATACGATTATCATCGCATCATTTCTTGGGGGCTTGGTCCAAATAACTTGTATGCAAGTCGATCGGTTGAATAATGGTAAGGGTGAATTCGGAAGCAAATTTTCGGGAAAACGACCTTTTTAACTTACGTTCAACCTATAATGATAATTAAATATGAAGATATTAAAATATTCTATATACTTAATTATAGATTCAAAAGATTGTTTTTATGACAACTCACTTTTAAACAATGTTATTCTTCGTTATTATTGGCTGATTTTGGGGTCAACCCAAATCGGTCCATATTTCGAAATAAGTGACTTACGTGTATAATGTTTAACTCTTATTTTATTTTCTGATTTTGAAATTTAAAAAATATAAACTCCTACTTATTTTTGAAATTAGCTAATTGTGAAACACCCTATATAGAAAAAATGTTTCTATATGAACTTTACGGACTTAATTGATAACTACGTTCTAAAAATTGTCTAAAAAATCTTTATAATTTACTATAACGAGGATGTTTTCAAAATAATCTATAAAGATTTAAAATTGCTATTTCTCATGCTTACAAAAAAAAATGTGTAGAATTTTAAAAAATTTATTACATAACGCGAAAATAATTGTGTCACATATTGATCCAAAATATTATTTAGGAACTAAAGAAATCATATTTTTTTTCTTATTTGAAAGAGAACCCAATTTATTGGTTTGAAATTGCAAAATTTTCTTCATATTGATTTTCGTTAAAAAGATTGATTTCTCCTTGAATCAAATGCTTTTGAATAGCAACAAGATAATTGTTGTATTTTGGTTTATGTTTGATTGATTTGTGGCGTTCAAAATTAATAGTTGCCATAGTCTCAATTTCTTATTTTTGAAAAATTTCTTTTGAAAATTTTCAAATATCTTAAAATCAACATACGCGCTTCTTATAAATAAATATGAATAAGCGCGCGTTAATTTGTATAACCATTTTTATTATTATATTTGTCAAATTCTTTATCAGTTTGCCTGCAATTATCAATTCAAATTTGATAAAACAAAAAAAAAACAATAACAATGAATATAGAATATTTCGCTCCTCGATTATTATTTTTTTTTTAGTAAACAAGAATGTGATTCAATCTACAAAGTATGATTCTCGGTATTATCTAGTTTAACAAATAGCCTGTATTATGCAGATCGTTTTAGTCATCGCGCCCGAAGAAAAATAAAACAAAGAATGTAAAGAATATGAAAAACGGATATCTAAACCTATTATTATGCACCAGTGATGACAGATGGCCTGAAATGACCAAAATCACCAAAATTACCCAAATGACAAACTAATCATTAGGTCATTTCAAGGATAAATGATTTAGAATATTCTAATACCTTTTAGCCAATAAAAATTGGTTTATTTTTATTCGTAAAAAATAATTTTGCTAAAGCCAATTTTAATTTTTTGGTTTTCATACCAAATTTTAAATTAGCACGATAGCCCAGCTTTTTATCTTAAATTATAAAAATTTGCATAATAACATGTGAATTTTTTTTATTTTTTTTTTAAAAAAAAAAAATTATTTGGAGATTTTTTTAATAAATATATATGAAATGTTTTCCAAAGGTTTACAAAAACTGTCCCAGCTGTGTTATGAAAACCAAGGTATTAATTTTGTATGGCTTAATTGCAAATATTTGGATAAATTCGATACCTTTTTTAGCCAATATTAAATTTATAATTTAGGCCATAAAAATCAAAATTAGTGCTTTCACATTAGTTGGATAATGTGACACACATGATTGTTAAAAATAGACATAAAAAAGTAATCATTTTTTTTGCCAACTCGGCTCTAGTATATAAAACTGGGCTTGTCGAACGCACAGTTTATGTTTTCATTATTTTGGCTAAGTCTTTCTATGGTATCATTGTTATTTGATATCATAATTATAATGTTACAATTTGGCGTGTTGGGCGTTTTGAATTTAAAAAATCAAAATCTGGGTAAAATAAACAGAGAACAAATAAAACCCACTATTTTTTCTTGTGACAAATCCCTATTTACAATAATACCAGCATTAAAATCTCTATACATATATTTAT